AATGGAATGGAACACAAATGCCATTATCTCTAAACTAATGGTGTTGAGAAGCAGCTGTATCCTTCATCTGTCTGGGGAGCAGGGTGTGGGGTGATTTGCACAGCTGTACAGCCAGGACCAGTGTGCACCAGTGGTGGTAGGAGAAGGGGTGGGAGCCCGTTTCACTGCCCTCCTTGGCCCTTCTGCTTTAAGGGAGTGTGCCCGTACTAACAAAGGGTGCTACAAGCTGACACAGTGTTTGTACCCAGCTGGAAACCGTGGTTCCACCTATCTGAGCAAACTAAAGACTGCTGGAACTGGATCATCCGCTCTGCTCCTGGTGGGAGTGTGCTTCTGGTGCATTTACATCCTGTGCCAGCTCCACCACAGTCAACAGAACCTCAAGGCAGCACTGCAGCACTGGGACCCTTCTCATGGGGACAGCTGCCATGGGATCACCCTGTTTTGGGGACTGAGACTCATCCCTCCAGCTTGTTTCACACCACAGTATTGCCGAGCACGTTTAATTTAAAACTAGTACAATTTTGGCCAAAGTCAGCTCTGAACCAGAAATGGATGTAGCTGTACTTAGGCGGTGCTTGAGCCCAAGCTAATAAAACCTGCTGAGGGGCAGGATGTATTAGCTTGGGTTCAGTGCTGTGCTAACATGGCTATATGGCTTCCAGATGGCCCAGAATTCAGTCAGAGCTATTGCCTGCCAAAGCCCATATATATCTATCAATATAAATACATATTTCCTAAGTTTCCCCACTATAAGGACAGTAATGGAGGAGACATTGCTCCTCATACTTTGCCTTGTAAATACCAGATCCATCGAGAGGTTTAAAGGTAACAACCCAGCAGCATCCTCCAGTGTACTTGATAGCTACCATGGCCAAGGTGGTCTAGGGGCAGCTGTGGGATAAATTGATGACATTTAGTGTGGTAATGGTGAGGCCAAAACAACATCAAATATACAGCCAAGTACATGAAGAGGCCAGAGTGCTGACACAGATTGTTGAGAACAAACCAGCCACTCCATGCCACACTGAAAGCTGCCTTTCTGAAGGCTTAGTTGAAGAAAGGGACCTTGGAAGATCTAGGCTAAGAGGAAGAGAGGGTAGAAAGCAGACACTATGTTTTTTAGTTTCTTCCCCAACATCTCTGGAGAAGAACTTCACCAATCCTTCATGCAGCATGTGGGGTAAAGAACCAAACCCCCTTCCAGGGGACACATATCACAGCATACCCAAATTCATGCTGAAGGGGGAATCAGCCTTCCACAGGCTTCACTTGGATTGAGTAACCTATTTTTTTCAAGTTTGCTTTTGCTCTGGCGAAAAAAAAAACTTGAAAATACTTGAAGAGTCAGAGTCAGGGAGCTGAGGGTTCCTGCTGCCTGCCCACCTCAAAAAGCAAGAAAGCCCAAAGAAACCTTCTATTGGAAAATGTGGTAACAGAAATCTTAATCTTTGTTTTTTCAAAGTAGACAGCAGTTTCTTCCCTTCTGGTGTGCTGGTAGACGAAAAATAAGTGAGAGCTGCAGTAATCCAATAAAAGGCACAGAACTATATGACTGTGGGGCTACTCAGGATGTTGTGTTGAGAGCTGTGTATTTGGAATCCATTTTATTTTGTGGATCACCACCAATCACATTGCACATCATGTCCCTCTCCCATACTCTGTAAACAACTCTAGGTTCTCCTCAGCAATGGCATAAATAGAAAAAGGATTACTCTTGTAGCTGTTTATATCACTTCAGCAATAGCGATGTTCAGATCACTGCTAACATCCACTTATAAAAATGCTAAATGTTCATACAAAGGTGCTGATCCACTAGAACAAGTTTTAAGTCTTAGGAGACATGTGATATATATATATAGGAAGAGGTTGCATGGAGCTTTTGAAATTATTTGTGCATCTGTATTGATTTTATGTTGCAATTCACCCAACATCCGTGCATCCATCAGCGTGAAAAAGATCACCTCTCATTTGAATCATGACAGAGAGTTTTGGTGTCAAAAGCAGGGAATCAGCCAAAAGGGGATGCTGCAAAATGTTGAGGATACGTTAAAAAAGAGAATCAAAAAAAACCTGATCCTTAATTTGCCACAGCCCCAGGGAAAGAGTGCATTATATGTTGACAGCTTCCATATGTGTCATGCAAAACTTTATTCTTACTGTTCAAAATAAAATGTCCCATTAAGAGAAAAAGTCTACATTTCATGCTAAAATGAGACGTACGATACCAAATACTGTCCTAAAGAAAAAATAAAACACATTCCAGTGTCATGTGGCTTTTTGTACTTTTTTCAGGATTTTCAAAGGGGGAAAAATATGAATTACAACAACCAGACATTTTTCCAAAGATTTTCTTTTCACACTGTTGTATTAGCTACAAACTTCTTTTTATTCCTTATGTAGACATTATTGTTATTATTTGTGCACCATCTTCAGGGATGCAAAGAAATATACACAAGTAATTGCCAAAAAATGTCTCTGATAGATGATGGTAAGAAAGATTACTTTTAATGGTAGTGATAACAATATAATAGCACCCTGGAGTCTCAGCAACCATTGGTTCCCCATATTGGCTGCATGAATAAATCTAAAAATTAGTATGTTTTTACAGACTTGATTATCCAGGACCCCAGTGTAGCACCGGAATGACTCAATCAGGGATCCTCTTACTTACCAGAATCCCATTTAGTTTAATGATCTGTTGCAACAGAAAGGTTGATGGATCAGGTTTTATCATAAATATCTCTCCAGTTATGGGGACAGAAGTACTATGCCTCCTGTAAATTCGGCTGACAGCTGGAGGCACAAAGAAATGTGCTTCAGACCTGCACGGCCTGAAGTTCACTCGAGCCAAGGGAAGGTTTTTCTGCTGATGTGAGCCAGTCCCTGAGCTCTCTCAGAGAACTGGTTGGAGGAAAGGTGGGTGGGGTTCTCTGGGTTACGAACCGAGTCCGCTATACACTGAGTCGTATAAAAATTCATGTTCCATCTGTACACAAACGTGTCATTCAACTGCTGGTGTTTCTAATAGCTTCCAGAAGTAACAGCAACCCAATAAAAATAATCAAAGCCTTAAGAGCAAAATTGTAAGAGCATGAAAGGATGATTTTGCTTGTGCTAAGCTGAAGTAGTGTAGCGTAGGTCTATCCTATAGTTTTAAAAACGTCAGTCCCTAGAAGTTGACTCCTTGTACAAATAAAGTGAAAAAGGGAATAGAAAGTGAGGGAAAAGGCAAATTCCTTCATAAGTCAAATAAGTAAGGTGCAAAAGGTAAAGCTGTTTGTGGCTTTGGAATTTAAAATAGAAAATTATCTATCACCTTTCCAATCTTGGGAGTAGGACAGGGGAAATATTTACATGAGCTATTCTTTTACAATTTCTTCAGTGTATTAACCTAAAGGTTTCCTTTTACCCATACAAACTTTCCTGTAGTTTACTAAACGGATGTAATTTTGAGGCTAGAACCAACAAATTGCTGGTTGCAGGGTTTCTTAATGAATGCCTTTCATGGATATTTAATTTTCAACAATTTCTGTGTTCAAATCTCCTGGAAAAAAAAAAAAAAAAAAAAAAAGCAAAAAAGTCAAGGATGGAGTTTATTCTGGAGCAGGAAAGCTGGCCAGAAGCCAGCCCACCTAATTTGGATTCCTGACGGAGGTGTCACCTCCCCAGAATTGTAAGAGCTTTAAAATGGCCTCACTAAACCAGGCTGCCTAAGAGATGTGCTCCCCAGGCAGGCCAGGCTCAGGAGCAGTGCCTCGGAGGCCGGGCGAAGGCAGCAGCGAGCTCTGCTCTGCACTGGTGCCCCCCTTGCTCACTGGCTGTGCTCTGACCATAAGGTAACGCCAGATGGAACGGCCGTGAGCTTTGGTGCAAGCCTGCCAGCTCTCTTCTGAAGCATCGTGCCCAAAGGACAGTTTCTGCATAGCTCTCCAGCAGCCAGGGCACTTGCTGAAAAAGTATGAGACGCTTTGTTCACAGCCCAGCTGAGCCTGAGGGAGAATTTAGATCAAAACCAATGAGAAAATGTAGCCAGAACAAAGAAGAAGAAAAAAAAATTAATCCTTACACCAGAGTTTCTTCTGCTACTCATTAACATTATGTCAGCTAAGGTTTAGATTAACTGGCATCATAGATCCCTTGACCTCTGACATAAAAAGCTTTTTGACAAAAAGAGTTAAATCTGAGTTTGCTTGTAAAGTGGTATGGATTAAGTGAACCATCACAGAAAAAACAGTATATAAGTCTCTTTTTATTAGTTTCTAAAGAAGTCTAAGTAAAGAACATTTCTTCTAAAAATATTGTTTTGCACTGAGATGCATTTTCAAATTTAATGAAGAGCATAACTCTGAATAATGCAGTAGCCCAGTAAATTTGTACTAAAACCCCCATAGCTAAAAACTTCAGTTTTGATAGTCTTTTCTAATTTTCAGCTAACTAAAATTTTCAAGATTTCAAATTTTTAAATCATTTCAAGGTTTAAAAAAATCTTTTTTTCTTTTTCAAATTTAAGAAAACCAGTTCCCAAATTACCCTATTGTTAAACTTGCTTCAACATTAGTATCAACAGATGCTATATCTTTTGAATGGCTCTGAGGTTTATTTCATAACTTTTTCTATGCTTCAGCCCAAGAAGAATTCTGCAGAAGTTTGCAGAAGAAGTTCTGCAAATCTGACTTTCCTGAATTTAATCATCAGTAGTAGAACATTAAAATACATCTTAATTTTGTAGGAGGAGCTTAATTTTGTATGTAGGAGCTCTTATCCTGAACCCAATTTCACTTGATTCAGTTAGTTTTATAATTGCAATATTCTAAAGAATTGAAAACAATAGAAAATTTGCAGACCACATCAACAGCAGGATAAGATTAGTGTTATTTGCTTACAAACTCTCAATGAATTGTCACCCAGTCAAGGTAAAAAAAACCCATCCAGAAAAAGGTCCTAGCAAGGTTTGACAAGAGCACACAAGGCTTTGGGATCTGTAGTTTGGATCTTACCGTCCCCAGTTTCAGCACAGAGCTGCAAGCCCAGGTTGTTCTGTGGATTAATCACCCAGTGATTGCTGGTCACAGTGATGTCGAAGACAAACCAGCCCACATCGGAAGCTTGAGCCTTCCTTGTGTCCAATAGGAACAAGTCTGCATCCCTAAATTAAAGAAAATCAGGATTTAAGGCATTCAAATATTATTAGCTTTGTCCCTAATTTTCTTGCTGACAATAACTTCTTGGAGTTCAAATTAATAACCCTCTGATATATCCTCATTATGACATAGTACAGCATGTGCTGTAGCTGACAGGTAGTTGGTAAATATAATACAGGTATTTCCCCTAAGAGGCCTTTCTGAAATGAGCTTCAGCATGAAAAAATGATAGCTCTGGAAAATCTGAAAAATACAACTTCCTGATACAACTACATGAAAAACATCATTGAGGCCATGTATAAAAAAATTCATCTCTCAACATCAGAATGCATCAGGAAGATTCACTTTTATAAACTTTCCAGCATAAAATGACAAAATCACTTCCCAATTTCAATTAAAACTCAGAGGTATAGCATTGCTAAAAAGATCTGTTGTTAATAACATGTGACGGCAGCTGTATCCTATGACAAAGCATGAATAGATGGCAGTTCAGACCGTTTTCTATTACTGCAGATGTTTAGAAAATAAGTCTCTATATCGAAGCAGAAATTACATATCTATTCAATAATATAATTATTACATTTTAACCCTCCGTTCCCTGGTATATTTTCAAATTTGTTCCCATGAAATCTTCCAGTAATTCAGAAGGGCTGCTCAGGGGAGTTAGTATAATTGTGTTACTAAATTTTTAGCATGGGTCATTTACTTGTTCTGTTTCCACATATCTCGTGACACAATTGGTTCCAGATCATCATCTGTATTACAAATAATTTACTACAATGACCAGACTAAACCAAAGATATTTAACTCTCATCAGTTTCATTTTACACGCTTCTACAAAGCAGCATGCATTATTAAGAACTGTTTTCACCATTTAACCTTTTAAACCTAAATCTATAGTTATAGAAACCTATGTTTTAATGCCATAAATAGTAGTCAAAACATTAAGATACAAGAAAAAATGTTTCATTCTAATTTTTTACTGTACAAGTTAGCTAAAGGCAGAGTTGGCCCACACAGATCTGGGAATTGTACTGTTGCCTTATAGACAAAATGAATTCACACTTAAAGAGGAAAGACAACCAGCCAGAACAGGCTTTGTGTGAAAAAGGGGATTTAAAATTTCTTGGGTCTTGTCACTGTATTCTTACATGCTTGATCACAATGACACCTTAGAAAGTTCCTGTCTTATCTAAACACAGTAAATGCACCTAGAATGTCTGATACTAAAAAAAGCATTAAGTGCACCTTTTGAAACTGTGATTGCTAAATAATGAAGAAAATAAGACCAAGTGAACTATGACAAGTATATGTTTACTTATATGTGAGATATATCTACAAAATCATGTTAAAGAGCTCAGAAATTATAAAGGAAGGTAATTTAAAAAATAAAAGGAATTGAAAGGGCTTTTTTGTTTTTTCAAGTTGCCTTTTTTTTTCTTCTGTTAAAGGATAATCTTTTGATGGGCTCTTATCACTTCCATTCTAGTAGAACTGTGCTAATGACCACACAAGGAGAAAACCTACATTCCCCCTCTGGAGTTAACATGAAGAAAATCTTACAACTCAAAAGAGCCTGACCTGCTATGCTAGCACTGAACAAATTAACAACATACCACAAGCTCATAAATGGTACTCTCTGGAGTCTTAAATGCCAACTTTTTTTCTCTAATATGCAGTTTTATCAGAATTTTAAACCTAAAAAGTTCTGACTTTGAGATTTTTATTTAGAAATACTTTTGCATCACACAGTAGATTTAATAGAAAACTGTAAAAGTGTTTGGAATATAAAATACTACAATACCACAGTGATATATTTCCACACTTGTCTTTTCTCCTCCTAGAATACATAATTGTTTTCTCATATAGAGTCTTTCCATTCCAAATCCAGGACTGGTACTAAAGGTTCACAAAATCACAATGTTTCCCATGCCAAATCAGAATAAGGCACTACTAATGGTCCAGCCCAGAAATGCCTATGAGGGACAAATTTTTCCTCAATGTGACTTTATTACTTCGTACTGCAGCAAAAACTCAAACTAAAGTGTCTTTGATATTGATATTTCAATTACTTGTCTGTGTCCCTGCAAGTACAGTGACCTGGCTAAGGTTATACACTTTAAAGAGACAGATTGCTCTTACTCATTACCTCAGCAAATGAAATGAAAATGAGTTGGGTTACTTAGAGAAAACCAGAACTATGCACTTCTATGTGCTCTTGAGAGCACATAAAAGAATGCAGAAAATGTATCTGGACCAATACTAGTAATTTAGCCCACATAACAACAGCATGTTACTACAGAAATTCAAAGTCTGTAAAACTCAGGGAAAAAAATTCAGGGAAAATAACAACTTCTTCCACAATTGATACAGATACAGGGTAAAAACCTGACCCCTGAGAAGGCAGCAGGAATTCTAGGATCAGGGTTCCCCCAATAGTTCATGTCATTCATTCAAACTTCCCATCATATTTTGTGACATTTTTAATTTTAAAATTCTCCTTTATTCTGTGCAATCACACTTAAAATGAAAAACAGCTGCAAATTTTGGCTGAATTTTAAAATGTATTTCTATTTAAAATATAGCCCACAAAACGTAATAAAAACCCAAGGCATTGTGTCATAAATAGCCCAAAATGCAGAATGCAGCTGATTGGCTGTACCTTTACAGAGGCTCTTTAGGGCAGTGATTTCAGTCTGGTCCCCAATGATCAGTTTTATAAAGGAGAAATGCTATCACAGTCAAAAATTTCAGCAAAGAGGCTGAAGGCAGAACGTCTAAGAAGCTCCAAATCTCCTGGGACCCTTAAGGAAGAAAAGGTGGAACAAACCAGCTACATGTTCCTTGAAAGACAGAACAGTCCTTGATCAGATCAAATAATCATTACAGTGTAATAGGCCATCCCAATAATGCTGTTTTGCCTCCATCCTCATTCTGGAAACCGGCTTTTATATCTTATTGCCACTTGAGCATTCCCTAATGTGAAAACAGCCCTCAGAGTTTACTTGAATTAGTGGCTAGCTGCCACCAAATCATGAACCAAGATTTGGCATGAATTGGACAATATTTACTTTTGTCTTGAGAAAAGACTTGGGTAGGAGTCGATGGCGGGGCTCCATAGGAAGTCAGCCTGCTATGGGCCATGCCGTACATTTCCTTAGACCAAATAAAAAACTTCAATCCCAAAGACTGGAACTTCAGCAAACTCCAGGGGAATTAAACACACACACTTCAGTAGTCAGGCTGTCATAGAGACAGAAGAATGCCTGAGCCTACAGCACAATCCTTAGTATGCAGCTTGGAAACCCTGAGCCCTGGGCACCCCTGCCTGAAAGCACAGCAGGCCTGTGTTTGGGATTGCAGAGTCCTGTCAGACACCTGTGTGTCCTGCTCAAAGCAAAGGGTGCAGGAGCAGTTTTGCTGTGGAATGTCACTAGTGAGGACTGTGGGATATTACAGAATCATAGAATCAGAGAGAGGTTTGGGTTGGAAGGGTCCTCAAAGATGATCAGGTCCCAACCCCATGCCATGGGCAGGGGCACCTTACACCAGGACCTGTGGCTCAAAGCCCCATTCCGGCCAGCCTTGAAAGCTTCCAGGAATGTGGCATTCACAACTTATGTGGGCTACACGTTCCAGTGCCTCTCCATCTTCAAAGTTCTCTCCCTCTCCCATTCTGTAGTTACAGCTTCTAAAAATTTTGTGCCTGAAACCTAATGTACATATGTCAAATAAACCTGAGGTGATAAAGTCAAGAAAATCGCAAGTGAAGTCTGGCCCCAAAACAAGAGATGTGGTTTTGCTGGAAAAATAAAAATTCCTCGGAGCTCGTCTTGGGGTTTCTTCTGCCTGGAGACAGCAAGGGGCTTGTGGAAAAATTTTCTTGTTTCTAATTTGATCAGTGAAGAGCTTATGGTCTTCTCCTGTCCTGTTCCACTGAGGCAGTTGCCTATAATATCCCTCCATATTAGCAGAAACTGTCAAAATCAACACTAGGAGAGAAACACTTAGTCTACATCTGAAGCTTCTATAGTTACACTGGTGAAATCAAATGCATGGTGTGTCATTGTCTGTTCCTCCTTTCAGCAGCATGCTTCCATTAGAGGATATGGGGCTTTTATAATTGTAGATGCAAATATAAAGCATTTATAAATTTCTGTTTATGCATTGAAAGAAATCAAACAGAGGCAGTTGCCATTTGAACTGCCAGGTAATACCTTTGAACAAGTCAGGTAATAACTGTGATATTCATCTGAGTGGTAAACGGTTTTGCTTTCTATAAAATAGAATACAAACCACCAACTGAAAATATTCAAGAACTTAAAAAGAAAACATCAAAAGTATTAGAACAAATAGTTTTTCCCATTAGTTCACAAAAAAATCTGAGTTCTCAGGTGAAAAGCTTTCATCACCTTAGCCTTCACCTGTGCTCTTGAAAAAGATATGGTTTGTTCCTCCCTGCTTCATTCCTTCCTCCAATAAGTTTCTTTTAGAATTTATGTCAAAAGAATTTTTGGGAAGCTGAAGATAGAGGTAAAAAACAACAAATAAAACCCAATACTATTTTCTTCACCCCCAAATTTATTAAGAAAGTGAAAGGTATTCTGTAAGGATGAGTGCCTTCCCTCCTGTTGATTCCATTGGTATAAAATGAATCCCTGTTTATAGCCATAAATATTTTATAACTTGGAGTTCAGAGACCTGACCTGGAGGGTACAAGCTCTAGATTCTGTGGGCAGAAAGGAGATTTGAATTCTGGCGCAGCCTTCAAGCTAGCTTGTGATGAGGCTTTTGTTTCCTCCCAAATACTCTGCAAGTTTAAGCTGACATTTTCTTTGGTTTTGCCAGACCTTCCTGGGATAGAAATCAGTTCCAAGATGAAGAAGAGTTTTTGCTTATCTTAAAATAGAACTTTTCCCCCCCACACACATTTTCTGAGAAAAGACATGAACCAATTTAATTTCAATCCCTATATTTTGAGTCTATGTAGCTTTTTCAGAAGCATCTTGGAATTGATACTAGCTTTCAATCATAATTTTCAGGTACTTAGCTACTTTGCCTGGTGAAATCTGCTAATTTACTGAGGTCTTGTAGAGTCTTGGAAATATGTCATATACAGAGCTCTGCAAACTCCATTCAGGGATTTGCTCATGCAACATCATATGTGGCACTTAGGGACATGGTTTATTGGTGGATTTGGCAGCGTTAGGTTTATGATTGGACTCGATCTCAAAGATGTTTTCCAACCTAGATGATTCCATGATTTGTTTTAGTGTTCAGTTATGGTGAGCAGCATGTGTTAAGTATGCGCATGTCATCTTAAAATTAATGCATGAGTTTACCTTTTAATTACCTTCTGCAGAATTGTCAAGCACAAGCAAAAAAGTGATTACTTTTTCAAAAGTAATCAAAGTTAGACAGTGTTCCTGCCTCTAAGGAGCTAAGTGAATCTTGGCTTGCAGTACCTCAGTGTCAGCAAATGGTGCATTTCCCAACCCCAGACACTTGGACTGTGCACGGGACTCCACCATTTGCTCGCTGAGAACATGAACCCTCACCTGCTCTGTGCATGGGCAGATTATTTGGTGAACTTGGACATAAACCTGGAATAAATTACATTTAAGGTAAGTTTTAGTCTTATCCAAGGCTTGCTTTTGTTGCCTAAGAATTAACACTGCACAAGCCACAGCGGTAGCAACGATGCCTTGTCAGGTATGCGCTTATGATCAAATATTGCCCCTGCTTAAGACAGGCAAAGGGGGTGGGATTCAGCATGTGATGAGTCCACACCAGGATTAGGATACCTGTTGGGATACTCCTTGATGATCTGATATATGCTGATCTGAATGGTTTCATTCTCAAAGCGGCTGTTGCTCCGATCTTTGTATATCCGGAACTCGGCGGCTGTCACTGCCTCTCCGTGAGGGATCTGAGTCAGGTCAAAGCGGAATTCCTTGTAGTGCCTTCGGTGGTGGGAGAAGTCCTTGTCCCTTTCAACTGTGAGAAAAAGAATTGAATGTAAATTAAAGACGTCAAACAAATGCCCACTTCCCATGATGAATGGAGCATTCCCTCTGCTCGGGGGTTAACAAACATGACAATATAAAACTGTGCAAATAATAAAACCACAAGCCCAGACATACTTCCAGTTAAAGGAAATTCCACCAGCCCAGTATCTTCAGTTCAAAAGGAAAGAAAACCTCCGTGGCTTTTATATAAATTCCAGAAGCCGGAGTGGAGAATATCAAAAAAAGCTGAAAGGGGGCATATTGTAAAGCAACTAGAAATATGGACAAACTAAAAGCTGTCAAAGGATTTAGGACTTCAGTGTGGCCATAAGCACAGCAATAGCAATGTCAGAACTATAGATGACTTTGAAAAACACTAATTGCCTCTAATAACCAGGTCGATGAGAGGAATGCAGCTTATTTCTGTTTAACAAAATAAAAGTGGTACTAAAGTGCACTGCAACAACTGTATAGTTAAGAAGCAGTTAAGTCATATAAATTAACAAAAGTTGTACTCTAATGGCATGCACGTCATCTTTCCAGTGGTCAGAAGAAGGAGCTGTGGGTCAGGGCCAAGTGGTTCTGGCACCCCAGCAGCATAGGAGGTACAATTCTGGCTTGAGAAGTCCCCTCAAACCTGTTCTTGGTGGGCAGGTGCAGCTCCCACTGCTTCTGACATTTTAAAACAATTTTACATTTAAAATTGTTTTAATTTAAAACATTTTAAAACACAACAGTGCCACATTTTAAAACAAAAAAGCAAGCCTCATGATTGCTTAATTGAAGTTTCTACAGAATTTTAAGAGGAACAAACCAGGTGATTTTAATTTATAACTGGTTTGGGTCTATTTCCATTGTCTGCTGCAGTTCTGATTCTCAGTTAGGAGCAACTTTTGCAATGGAATATATGTTTTGATGTGACAATGGAAACTACAGGCCATAGTACTGGCTGATGATCGCCTTATGGGATTCATACTTCAGATTTTAGGGATGTGGAAAGGAAAATGATCCATGGTTTCCACTTCCACAGAGTACAACATATCATTGACCTATGAATAAGCTGTGCTCCGTGGGAAGACAGAATTTCTGTCTTCTGGAAAATTCTACCTGCCAGGTGACATACATGCTTTGTTTAACTGATGGTGGACAAAGTCTAAAATACAGAGTTGGGATTTGGTTTAGATAACCAACTAAACATTTATGGCTGCACTTAGCTTCTCTAAACACTCTCTTCTGTAACCTCAGCTCTTTTACTGCATTTTAGTCCTCAGATCTGAGAGAGGAACAATGTCTGTTCTGAAAAAGCACACATTTGCATTACTAAATGCTACATGTATGAATAATGTGTAAATTATTACAATATTTATACTTACATGCTTATATATATATGCCTCCCAAACAATTCTTTCTAAATACATAATATGTATGTGTTTGCATGCACATATAATTATATAATTTTATATATAAACGTACATATCTGTATTATTATAATGTATATGTTGTCTTACAAAATAGAAATCCACTAAAAGGTAAAAAAATAATTTTGGTCTTGACATATAAGGGTATAGTTATGGACATATTAAAGTGGGAGCTATTGAACAAAAAGTATTTAACACTATTTTCAGAGCAGTAGTTACTAGTTAAGTCACCTGTGGTCATGTAACTCATTCTTTACAGTGCACTTCCCTGTCACCATTTCAAAAATCCAAACCCTCCTTCCTTTCATTAGCTTTTTTTTTTTTTTTACATACAAGTCTGTATTGCCGTAAGAACCACAAAAAATAAAATATATAGGCTACAAGAAGACTTTATCTTCAGTGAAAATGAACTTTCTGCTGGCTGACAAAAGGAAAATTGTCTGCTAACTGTGAGGTTTGCTTGGCTCAAGTGCATATTTAGCTTACATGGGTTTGCCATCGAACGCTGTGCAGAAAAAGTAAAGCCGAAAAGCAGCAGAAGCATGTAAACTGGCTGCTCTGTAGCTGAAGATGGATGGGCTGCTACTGAAGAGAAACAGGATACAGTCTATTTAGCAGCTCCACTGCCCGGTTCTAAACCGTGAGATACATAAAGAGATCTGACTTAGGGTTTGGGAGTTGTTTGCTTTTTTTTAAAATACCCATGTAAAGCCTTTCATTTCAGAGGAGCCTGGCAGAGATTAGCATATGCAAAAGCACTGAGCCGGGAGGGTTTTTTCTAGTACAAAGAGTCTGCTCCAAGTTCCTGAGGTTATAACTGAGCATTTCAAAACTGTCATGGAACAGATGTGTCGATAACCTTCAAATGAGAACTATATCTAACACAGACTTGGCATAGTGCAAACCTTTCTGCTGTCTCTGGATATTATTTTTTCAACAAGTATTTACCAGCATGGGCAACCAAGCACTACTCACTGTGAGAAAATACTGAATAATTAAACACTGAATAAAAGGTTTAAATGCCACTACTACTGGACAGATTGATTTTTATTTGGGTTTGAAGCTTCCTTTCGTCTAGTCTCTACCAAGTACTTTCTAATTAGTAACATTAGTTTAGAAACAGTAGCTGTCTGCCTATATGTTATAGTTTGGACAGAAGCCTCCACAATACCCCTCACAGTATCAGTGGGGATCTCTCAGGATCACTCATCTGCTGAAAGAATACTGACAGCCACTTTCTGGTGGGCCTCAAATTAATTGATACAATTCACATAGATAGTATTTATCTGTGTTTCCACATTTATAATGAAGGAAGATGCAGGACTGTCATCTAAAAGGGACACAATTTCAAAATTTCTGTGGTTCGAGACAGCATTTGCGGGCAGGCCAGGACTTCAGAGCAGCAACAGTCTGCAGAAGTGAGGGGCTGTAGGAAACACTGAACATCACTGCAAAAACACCCTGAGTCCAAGGAGGTCCCATTCTGCAGTGAACCCAGAATGTCTATCTGCAAATTTATATCAGCCAATGTAAAAAGCAAAAAAAAAAAAAAAGAAATGGCATACAAATGTAGACAACTTAAAATCTTGCATTATATAGCAGACTGCAAAAAAAGAGGTGATGGTGATGTTACAATAATGACCAATAGTTAGAATGGTAGACAAGTTAAAAAGGTAAAATACTATTTAATGATAATGAATATTTTATTACTGAAAATAATACACAAATCTTGGTCCCGTCTGCATCTAATAAATGCCTTGTCAGGCAAGACTGTGAATGCTCAGTAGGGTATCTGTCAGGTCCTTTGTCCTGCTGAAATAGCATGAAGTGCAGGGAAGCACCATTTCTCAAATATTTTTATTTCACAGGCAAGAGCTTTTCAACACTGGCAGCCTGAAAAACGCAGGTTAAAATTTTCAAGTATTCGGTCCTTTCAGAAAGTTCTCATGCCATTCCAGCCCTGCTCAGTACATCTGCCAAAATGCATTTCTGTGGGACAAATCACAGCATCTAAAAACCAGTTGAAGAGAAAATCAGTAAATATTTTTTAATCATTGGAGGAATAGAATTTTTCTAAGAAAAAGATAATAGAATATTAGGGGCAATGCTGATTACAAAAAAAAAAAAAAGAAAAAAATCTTCCTTTGCTCTCATTGGTCAGGATTCTTAGCATTGACTTTTAAAAATGGCATTTTTATACCACCTGAAATTAATATATGCAGCACTACAGTTATATCAGACAAGTCGTGGCTCAGGGGAATATCACAAACACCTGTGTGTAAGATGGGAAAGAATGATATTTTCCACCCATGTGGCAAACTGATGAAACATTTACACTGTATTAACACTAAATATAACTCTAAGAAGAAAAAAGGTCAAATTTTAAAAAGGTATTTTGGAAAAGAGGTCTTCTTTTACACTGAAATAAAATATCATGCATTGTTTTTCATTAACAAAACTATTTATTTTATGAGGGAAAAAAATAACAACTGAAAAACACTGAAAGCACTTACATAGATGTATAACAAGTAATCAGTATTTTAGAAATTCAGTTATAAATATCTGATTGTGTTGACTGAGCTTAAAAAACATAAAAACTGCTAGCAAAGAGTTTAGGCCATAGTGCCTGAGGGACTATTAGATGTGATCTTTCATGAGTGATTAGCTCCACACTGATATGTGCTTCACTCTTCCTGAAGATGTTGGTGTGTGGCTGTGACACATGGGAAAAGTGAAAGCTGCTTTGGCAAATGGGTAACAAACCAAAGACATGCTGAAAGACATGTTATAATAAGCTGCTTTTGCAATATAACATCCCAGGATCCCAACTCACTTCACAAACAGTGAACCTTCCCTAATCAAATTAATGTCACTTTTTAACTATTAAATCTATGTTCCAAGGCAAAATGGAGGGTTTACAGACCTGTGTAACTAGAAAGGGTCATTTACACTAATCTCACTGAATTTCACTGTTTGACTCTAAATTCTTTGTATAAGTACTAAGTAAAGCAGTCAGTTTTAATCACTCCAAGGTGATAAAGTTTACAGTAAGCTGATACACTACAAACGACACTCATTTACATCTTGAATATAATGAAATGATAGTTTATCTACAGTGAACACTTGTGGTTATCTGACCAAAACAGGTCAAAGGTTCCAGGCATTTTCTCCTGAAATTACTCAGTGCTGCCTCTAATGACTGATAATTGAAAGCAGAGACTGGAAATATCAAATGTGGTAGGTGACAGATAAGCAACAGATTAATGCAAGTACTCTGTTACAGGACACTGAAAGGTCAGAGGCCCTAGGAATTAGCTATTGTGCTACTGTGAAAAGACAGACATCAAATAGCTGTTTACCCCACTCTATCTCTTCTCTCTCTCATTCAAATTCCAGTATCGCAGATGAGACTGTTTAGGGTGACTCACCTTTCATAAATTAAGGCAACAAATGTTTTGTAGGGTATGTAGAAAGGGGAAAAGAGATTCTAGAGAAGCATACAGGGTTTAAAAAACCCAAAATAAAACAGCTATGCTAGGTGTAAATGTTTCAATTAAGTGCTTCTGAGAGA